GACAGAGTGTGTCAGTGATATACTGGGTCTTAATTTAAACCACATGTGGAAAAATTCCTCACCCTTGGCCTTTTGGGTCATGATTCACCGGCATGGACAAGGACAGTGTGTCTCTAGGGTGGAAGGTTACATCATTTCAGTGACAAAAAACTGGCTGCTGAGATTGAAGACAGTAAGCCTCGCATGAACTGTCATTCCCTGGGAGAGAGTCAAGGGCGTTCAGACGGGAAGACAGAGGGTAGCAGGGTTCCCGCCTCCCTGCTGAGCAGGTTACTCTCTAAGCCGCCGTGTATTTCATCGCCAAGTGCTCTTTAGCAGCTCAGCATGGCTGCTCAGAATTAATATTAGGGATCTACAGTTTATGAAGGCCAACTGTATATCTTGCACTGAGGTAAATACAGGCATATCTCGGAGATGTTGCGGATTTGGTTCCCAACCACCGCAATAAAGTAAATACTGCAAAAAAGCAGATTAAACATGAATTTTCGGTTTCCCAGTGTATATATAAAAGTTATGTTTACACTACACTGTAGCCTATTAAGTGTGCTATAGCATTATGTCTAAAAAGCAATGCACATGCCCTAATTTAAAATACTTTATTGCTAAAAATTGCTAACCATCCTCTGCCACTTCAAGTCATAATCGTTTTTGCTAGTGGAAGCTCTTGCCTTCAATTTGTAAAAAACACGGTATTTGCAGAGTGCAATAAAATGAGGTATGCTAGCGCTTTAAATTTATTATGATGTAAAATTCTCGGAGAACCCTGAGAAATAGGCATTATTACGCCCAGTTTCAGAAAAGGGAATTGAAGCTCGCCTTGTCCAGCTCTCTCCCAGCTTGGAGAGCTAGCATTCAAGCCCAGGTATAATGCCAGTCTTTGCTATCCTACTCTTCCATCTATAAATAGCCCAAAGCTTCCACTTTTAAAGTTGTAATTTCTCTTAATGGTGCTTGAGTGCTTGCCTTGGCTTTCATATCTTCATTTCTTTGTGGCCCTGTATGCTTTAGTTTGGTAAATATTTTTGGAGAGCCCTTGAAATTCTCATTAGTCATGTGCGGATCCTTTTTTACTGTCATCCCAAAAAGCTGGGGTGTCATATACAGGGGTTGGCAAAAGTAGGTTTACAGTTTCTCCTATGGAAAAAGACATGCAGGTTATGATGACCACAGTAGCTTTATTAACTTAAAAGCATGTCACTCATGACTGTAAACCTACTTTTGCCCACTCCTGTATGAATCGTTGCATTGCTTCCTCCTTTTGCCCAAGGCAGACATCACTAATCGATCCTGAGTCTTTTCTAGTGAAGCCAGAAGCATTATTAGAATTCTTCCTTATGCAGAATTTCAGTCAAACAAAATCAATTGATAACAGTTGGAGCAAGGCAAACCCCTATTTCTAATCCTGGCCATAGAGCCTTGCTAAACTTCAACCTTGTGGGGAACTTGAATGTAGAAGATGAAGAACTGAAGCTAAAGAAACCCAGGGCAATGCCGGCCATCTCTAGCCCAGGATCCTGGCTCAGAGAATCTTGGTACCAACCCACCTTATGTATTTGCCTTCTGCATTTGCCTTCTGTATCACTATTCCTTCTTTAAGAAGTCGGACAGAAGCTTAGATCAGTGTATTTCCCAATATCCTTCTTCTCCTTGATTTGTATTTAAGTCCCTAATTCCAGACATAGGGACCAAGAAGCGAGCCTCGTCTTTGATGTGCCCAGGTTATTGGGTGTCCTTGAGCAAATCATTCCTTGCCTTGGGTTAGGGAGTAATAGATACGATGGAAAAGATCATGAGAGCCTCTAAGCCATGGAGTGGGTTTTACTTTGTGGAACCAATGCATGTCCTTGGAGCAGCAGGATCTAGCAGTTCCCAGTGACGTGGGCACATTTGGGGCTTTGGCGCCCTACGGTGGAAAGGAGGAGGAGGTATAAAGAAATTAGATTTATTGGGCATATCCTTTGTGGAAGACATTTTGTACTTGCCAAATCCTTTTATTTTCACAAGCCTGGTAAGTAGACATTATTTTGTTTCATCAATTCCAAGATGGACCTATTCTACATTTTAATATTTCTTTATATATATTTTTATTGATCTCAGAGAGGAAGGAAGAGAGAGATAGAAATAGCAATGATGAGAGAGAATCATTGATTGGCTGCCTCCTGCATGCCCCACACTGGGGATTGAGCCCCCAACCTGGGTATGTACCCTGACCGGGAGTCAAACCGTGACCTGGTTCATAGGTTGATGCTCAACCACTGAACCATGCTGGCAGGGCTACATTTTAATATTTGTGAAATGTATAATCAATGTATATATATTTTTCTTTTGCTTTCCATTTTAATTTGCCTCAAAATTTGACAATTAATACTGTATCTTGCAAGCAGTGGCTTCTTGTAATCTGAGGAATCCCCCCCCCCCCCCACTTAGCAGCTAGAAAAGCAGAAGCTTAGAAAAGGTGGGAATGTGGACTTGAATGCAGGCCTGTCTGATTCCAGAGCCACAGCCTTGAGTAGGCAAGGAGGCTATGATTATCTAAGACGTGCCCAGGGTAGCAGTACCTTATGCAAACTCTTTGCCCGTTTTCTACCCCTTGTAGGAAACGTGGTGTTTGGAGAGCCCATCACTGCCAGCCTTGGCACAGATGGAACCCATTACTGGAGCAAGAACTGGGCCAAGGCAGCTGCATTTGTGACATCCCCACCTCTGAGTCCTGACCCGACCACTCCTGACTACATCAACTCCTTGCTGGCCAGGTTGGTGAGGAATGACAAGCAGCTGGCATTGCGTGGAAACGTCCTGGGGCTGGTGGGATGAGGACGAGGGCAGCCCATCCATCAGCTGGACTTGGGTCTGCAGTGAGGAAAGACGTTGAGAATTCCCCTGCAATCTGGAGGGCAGACAACAGGCTCTTCCCCGTTGTGTTTTTAAAAATACTACAGTAATTACATTTATAATGGTAACAGCAGTTATGGGTGTTGTGTGCCAGGCACTAGGGTGAGACCACACACATAATCTCATTGTCCCTTAGAACTTGATGAGTGAGGGACTCATAACCATTTTACAGATGAAGCAGCTGAGGGTCAGAGGGACTAAATTATTTGCCGAAATTTGAACAGCTGGTCATGATGACCACCTAAATTATAGGGGCCTTGCTGGCTGCTTCTCTCTGCAGATCAGTCCCATCACTCATTTGGGTCCCCTCTGTTTTGTTACACAAGGGATGGTCGAATCCCACCCCCTCATTTTCCAGATGGGGTAACCAAGTCCCAGAGCGGGGAAGACATTCACACAAGTTCACATAGTTGACAAGAGGTAGAGGGAGGATTCCAAACTCGGGTCATGGCACTCCAAACGCTGACACTAGACACTGGGGCCTGGGCCCCTGAGGTGCCTCTGGCCACCTGTTCGTTCACATGGAGCTTTTCTCCTTTGCCAGTGGGGACCTGCAGCTCTCAGGCAGTGCCCACTGCACCTTCAGCACCGCCCAGAAAGCGATCGGGAAGGACAACTTCACGGCCATTCCTGAAGGCACCAATGGGGTGGAGGAGCGGATGTCTGTCATCTGGGACAAGGCGGTGGTAAGGATCAGGTCATGGGAGGGTAGCCAGGCTGTGCATCGGTGTCTTCTGGCAAAAGGGCCTGGTTTTATTTTCCTTGTTAACGTTATCTACGCTGCCAGAAGAATAGCCATGCAAATGAAAGTGCTCTTAAAGATTTCAGTAAAATTAGTGATCAGTATTTTAAATTGGTCATGTCCCTCTGTTCTACTTTAAAAACTCTAGAGACACTCGTTTCAGAGCCCAATAGGATGTGTATGATCTAATGCCTCATTTAGCTATACAGTGTAATCCGCCAAGTTTCCCTTTTCTTTTTGGCTACCAGGAAGCTAGATTTTAAGCTAAACTCTTTTTTTTCTTACCTGGGCCTTTTGTTTTGACAAGAGTGAAAGGATAAATATTTTTGTCTCTTCTCTTATATACTTAGATTTTATTTTTTTTACATTGTTATGTATTTGTGAGTGTATGTATTTATCTTGGCACTATCTAGAATTGTTTAAAAATTATATATATATATATATATGCGCAACATAGTGCATTCTTGATAAAGAACACTTGGAAACCACTGAAAAAAACACATTCACAAAAGAAGGCAAAAATTACTCATCAATTCCACTCCCCAGGGATAACCACTGTTGTCATTTGGGCGAGGTTCTTCCATAGTTATCCTATGTGTGTGCAAATACAAGCACATATTTAAAAAATGGGCTCATCATCACTTTGTTTTTAGTGTGAACTCTCTACAACCCCTGTTGGAATTAGAAGGGGTAAAAGTAAGTAAATGTATGCACATAACCAGAGAAAAAGAAAAGCCTACTTCAGGAGCAGTAACTTCCCGCTTAAGCCTTGTGTTTAATCGTTTTGCCTGGGCGACCATGACAGCCCAGCCGGTTCTGAAAGCCTGCTGGGTGTGGTTCTGTACTCACAACCTCAAAGGCTCCTGTTTGTATTTTGGGGCCTTTGTGGTCACCCTGCTCTGAGCTTAGAAGCCCTGCATGGACAATAAAAAAAAAAAATTATATTTCCATAGGCCACAGGGAAAATGGATGAAAACCAGTTTGTGGCTGTGACGAGCACAAATGCTGCAAAGATCTTCAACCTGTACCCCCGCAAGGGAAGGATATCTGTGGGTTCCGACAGCGACCTGGTGATCTGGGATCCAGATGCTGTGAAGATCGTCTCTGCCAAGAACCACCAGTCGGTGAGGCTGGAGCCGGAGGCGTGGACTGGGGCGGGGAACGCGTGCAGGGAACTTGGTCAGGAGAGAGGTGTGTGTGTGGTGTACCAGGGTAGTTAGGCTAAGATGTGTTCCAATAACAAACCGTCCCGAATTCTCAGTGACTTCCAACCTCCACAGTTTAGTTCTCACTCCCGCCTTCCAAAGTGAGTCAGCAGAAGGGCTCTGCCTACTATAGTCACTGCGGGACGGAGGCCGATAGAGATGTCATCTCTACATGTGTCCCCGAAAGCTTTCCCAACATGTCACTTCCTGTCATGCTGCATTGGCCACAGCCCTCCAGGAGGGCAGGAAATGCAGTGGTGCCTTGTGCCTAGAAGGAAAAACAATGGGTGACCAGCACTGATGATGTCATTGGGAAGCATTTCAGGTGGAAGATAATTCCCAGTACCTCAAGGACAGGGGCTTAATACTTGTTAATAAAATAAAAATAGCTCATATTTTTTTAAAAATATATTTCTTTATTGATTTCAGAGAGGAAGGAAGAGGGAGAGAGAGATAGAAATATCAATGATGAGAGAGAATCATTGATCGGCTGCCTCCTGCACGCCCCCCACTGGGGATCAAGCCCGCAACCCAGGCATGCGCCCTTGGCCGGAATCACACCTGGGACCCTTCAGTCTGCAGGCCGACACTCTATCCACTGAGCAAAACAGGCCAGGGCAATAGCTCATATTTTTTAAGCACCTATGTTTCAGGCACTGTGCTTGTCATCCATCCAATCTCCCCAGCAGTCTTCCAGGGGCAGGCACTATCATTATCCTCATTTTGTAGATAAGGAAATGGAGGTGCAGAGGGATTAAATAGTTTAGGCCACAAGGAAATGAAGCTAGGCTTCAAACCCAGACAACCTGACTCTGAACTGATGCCCGTAACCATTTGCAGTGACGCCCTGCACTGGTTGAATAAATGAAGGAGGTAGGGAGAAATCCCGTTTGTTGGTGGGAATGGCCTTTGCTCAGACATTGTGTCACATCACATTATTTCATTTCAGGCCAGCAGGGGCCAAAGGGTCATGTGACCCACCTACCCACCTACCCACCCACCACTTCATGGCCGCCAAGTACAGCATCCCTGATACTTATCCGGCTTCTCCTTGGGCACTGACAGTGACAAAATTTACTTCTACCATGGGGACCTAAATAAGGACTGGGTGCTTCTCTTTGCTAGGAATTCCAGCCTATACTTGGGGAGCTTCTATCTCCAGGGCCTCTACCCACTGAGCCCTTGTAGATGCATTGTAGGCTTTTCCTGGCTTACCTGGCCAGTCAGTTCTAGCCACGCTGAAGGCAGGATCTCAAGCACATGAGAACCACATTGTCTTTCTCCCCTTCCCACGCCCATACCCATGGCTGTGTCCCTCGCCCTGTCCCTAGGCTGCGGAGTATAACATCTTTGAAGGCATGGAGCTGCGCGGGGCTCCCCTGGTGGTCATCTGCCAGGGCAAGATCATGCTGGAGGATGGCAGCCTGCACGTGACCCAGGGGGCTGGCCGCTTCACCCCCTGCAGCCCCTTCTCCGACTATGTGTACAAGCGCATTAAAGCCCGGAGGAAGGTGAGGAGGCCAGGAGCCCGGGGTGGGGTGGGAGGGGCTGTGTCCTGTTCAGGCACGGGGACAGTAACCCTGGATCGGGAGGGGGCGCTGCGCTCCAGACCCCACCAAAGAGATGCACAGCGCTCGTCTCTTCCAGGGACACTCGCTCCGATTTAGTGCACACAGAAAGGGTCTTCAAATGTTTTGGTCAAAGAAAGGTTTTTTCAAATGATTTCTCCCCATTTTATAGTGCTTTTCTTTAAAATAATTTAAAATTGTAATAATTCAAAATAATATATATAATTTAACTTTTTAAGGCTTATGAGAACCAGGAGTCCACACCCGTCCCGGTCCCATTCTGTCCAGGCAGGGCTGGCCCACGGGGGCACATGTTTATAATTCTTCTAGCTGGTTCTGTGCATCAAATAAAATCTTATATTTCTGATTTAATCGCTAGATGGACAGACAGACATATACACACACGTATATCTATCCATCTACCTACCCACCTACCTACACATTACAAGCAGAGCATCCCTGGTGGATCTAGGGGTGAGGCCCATAACTCTGTCTTTTCAGATCTCCATCCTACCCCCTACAGTCTCAGGTCACTTTTAGGTAAGTGAGGGCTCCACACAGCAGGGCTAGACTAGCCCTGGGAGCCTGGAGTTTGAACTACCCTTTCCACCTGCTCTGCTCTGGCCGTACAGGTGGTTCTTTCATTTCATGTTTCCGCCATTGGTTTCCTCTGCTGGGAACACTGCCCTCCACAACACACCTCTGTACCCCCAGCCTCCTCCCTCCCTTAACTCCAGCCCCATACAAGCTTCTTGGATCCCTAAGATCAAAGGTCACCCTTAGAGAACCCTTCACTTACCTCCATCAGCATTCTGTCATACACCCCCCCTTATTTTATACTCCTCCTCTCCTTCAAATAACTTTTTTTTTCCTGGTTCTCACTGCACACACTTAAGGAATGCACTGATATATTTGTGCTACCTAGAACCGACCCTTAGCTTTTAAAGGAATAGAAGGTGATGTGCTTTCTCTGCCGCAGATGGCAGACCTGCACGCCGTCCCGAGGGGCATGTATGACGGCCCGGTGTTTGACCTGACCACCACGCCCAAGGGGGGCACCCCCGCAGGCTCCACCCGGGGCTCCCCCACTCGGCCGACCCCACCCGTGAGGAACCTCCATCAGTCGGGATTTAGCCTGTCAGGTGAGTCGGAAAAGCTGATGGTGACCCTTAATGAGAAAGGGAGGAGAGAAGGGGGAAGGGGACTCAGTGCTCCAAGCTAACGGTGGTCCTTGGAGCGAACCCAGACCGCCTTTTAGGGGGCAGGTTACTGGGCAAGAAGGATGGTTTGTGCTGAATCAATAAATAAGTCCTGCTGAGAAAGCAAGATGAGGCTCAGTCAGGCTCAAGGTCAGGCTTAAATGACACCAGTTCTGCTCAGAGCTCCCATCTGGTGGGGGAGGCTGGGGTGGGGGGGGGGGTGAATTTATAGTGATTTTCTGTATTAGCCTGTGAGAGCGGTGCAATGTGCCCAGGTGAAAAGAGAGCTCAGATTCTTTTTATGCTCGAATTGCAATAGCTTCTTCCAGCCCAGGATTTTTATTCTGCCCTCCCTCTTACTAGTAATCAAGCTAACAGCAGCCGCTGCTGATTGGACATTTACCGTGGGGCAGCCATATCACGAATCTTACCTATTCTTTAAGAACTGCCTGATATAAATACGAAATAATGATTCAGTTCCTCCACAACCAGTAGTCTTAAATTGCGAAAAAATAAATGTAGGTTATGGTCTCTATGATGAACAATTTAAATGTGAGGGAAGCAGGACAGAGATGTGTAAAGAGAAAACTGGCAGCAGGAAGGGGGTAAGGAGGGGAGCAGCAGGATATGGGGAGGAAAAGAGATGAGGGGACCTAGGTCGGGAGGAAGACAAAAGAAAAGGGCTGAAAGGTCTCAGGTGACATGGCCAGAGGTCACAGCATGCTCCTTGCTGAAGTCTTTGCCAGCGTTCTGCCCTTTTCTGTTGCTCCCTGGCTCCCCTCAGCCCTAAGCTTCTCCGGCTCCTTCTGAATGGACAGAGGGACTCACTGGTGTTTCCTGGTGTGCTGTGGCTGCAGGGGCCTGGCTGTCACCACTGCCAGTTGTGACCCTAGCCCATGGTCAGCAAACTGCGGCTCGAGAGCCACATGCGGCTCTTTGGCCCCTTCAGTGTAGCTCTTCCTCAAAATACCATGTGGGGCGCGCACGTAC